CCTTTATGGTGTATTTTAACACACTGGAAAGAAATAGGGGGACCTCAGGGTGGGAATACTAAGAAGAAAACCTTAACCAAATACTGTTCTGAATGGTGACCCCTCTATAAACTAGGGGAAGGAGCAAAGTGGCCAAAGCATGGATCATGAGACTATAATATCTTACTACAATTAATGTTGTTTTTGTGAAGGGAAGGAAAATGGGATAAAGTAATTTATGCCGATATGTTCTTTGCTTTGAGAGAACATCTGGAATGGCAGAGAGAGTGTGGCATTAATTTGGCACTGCGAGATCCATTTGTTCTAACTTTAGAATGAGAGAATCTAAAAGAAGGAATAGGGAAGCTTAAACAATGTTGTTCAGCATGTTCTATAGGACAGAGGTGTTTGAAATATAAGAACAGTGAACTAGAAAGTGGAATTGATGATTATGTAAGTCCCTTTGGAGAAAGGGCAAATGAAATAGCAGAAGAGGGGGCTTCCGTCCCCCCCTCAGGGCTGGTAAAAGATGAGGACAATAAATTGTCCTCATCCTCAGGACAGCAAGAGAGGGATGGAGAAAGAGGAAGAAGAAAAACTTCTCTTTCCCCATCCTTATCTCCTCTGAGCAGGCGAACATGCAGCAAGACAAGGGTAAAATCTGTTTCACCACACGCAGGGGCCAGACAAATCATACAAGCCCCTTTAAGAGAAGCTGCAGGACCACAAGGGCCTATAAGGCTTAAAGATAATTTCTCTATGGGAGATCTAGAAAATTGGAAGAATATTGCTTGTAAATATAGAGATGACCCAGTTGGGGTAGCAAAGAAGTTTAAAGCATCTATTAAGTCTTTGGATCCAGACTGGGATGATATCAACTTGATGCTAGATGCCTTGACAGAAACTGAAAAGGAGTTAGTATTAAAAGTAGCAAACACATACACACAAACTACGTTAAAGGCTGATGATAATTTAAATATTTTCTTTCCACAAGACAAACCACGTTGATAATCCCAACCATTATCAACTTCTTCAGAATTACTGGGGTTGGGTGTCTTAGGGAATGGAAAATGCAGTTCCCAAAGCTGTGAATTGGGGTTCTCTTTATGCAGTAAAACAAAACATCGGAGAAACCCCCACTGAATTTCTAGATCAATTAAGGGAAGCAATGCGAACTTACACCACCTTGGATCCGTTAGGGGATCAGGACAAACAGCAGCTAATCTCACTGTTTCTGGGTCAGTCCTCGGATGACATCTGCTGCAAACTGCAGAAGTTAAAAGCTGAAGATCAGAGGAATATTGAAAAATTAATTGAGGAGGCGTAGCGGGTATACAGGAACAAGGAAGGGGTAGAAAGACAGAAATTAGGTAAAACTATCACAAAGGCAACTATCGCCACCCTGGATAGGAAAGACCCTCACTCTGGAAGACCTGGACGACACCCTGGAAACAGTGATTATCAAAAATTGAGACCAAACCAATGTGCCATTTGTAAACAAAGTGGACACTGGAAAAGAGAATGCTCCCAAAATAGATGAAAACCTCCTTTGGTGGCAGAATTAGAACAGGACTAAGGGGGACCGGGGAGTTAGCACTCCAGAGACCCCCTGGTTATAGTGGAACTGGGGAAAGACATACAAGTTCCTTTATATGCCTTACACACCTAAATCACTTTTAGGACGGGAATTTCCAGCCAACTGGACTTCAAAGAAACACCGCTGCCTGAGGCAGAAGCATGGTTTACCAACAGAAGCAGCTATGTGAAAAACGGTACCTGCAAAGTTGGATATGCAATAACAACCACAGATCACATCATCAAAGCGCTGGCACTCTGCTGGCACTTCTGCACAAAAGGTAGAAATAATTGCACTCACCAGAGCGTTGCAATTAGGAAAGACAGTAATATTTGGACAGAATCAAACTATGCCTTTGGGGCAGTTCATGCTCATGGAGCAGTGTGAAAAGAAAGAGGGCTGCTCATATCACAAGGAAAACAAAGCACGCAGAAGAAATCCTAAAGCTACTCGAAGCTGCCCAATTACCAAGAAAGCTTGCCACTATGCATTGCAGAGGATATCAAAAAGGTAATACAGACCAGGGAAAAGGCAGTCGATTGGCAGATCGAGAGGCGAAAAAGGCAGCAGAAAACAGCCAGGTAAGACTTGTCTCCCTAGTCCCTGATGGCAAAATCATAGAGGTAAGCTCTAATATATCATATTCAAAGGAAGATTTAAAATTAATAAAAGATCAGCAAGCTCAACTCAGAGGTAACATGTACCAGTTAAAAACAGGACAAGTAGTGATATCTGAAAAAATACTATGGAAAGTTGTACAGGCAGAACATGACAAAACCCATTGGGGGGCAGATGCGCTGCATAAATACCTAAGGAAACAAATTATAGAACGAAATTTATACACTACCATAATCCAGGTCACTAAACATAGCAAGACTTGCCTCCATAATAATCCTCATACAACCAATAAAATAGAGATAGAGACAACTGGCAAGGGTAACCTCCCAGGGCAACACTGGCAGATAGATTTCTCAGAGCTGCCTAGGAAATGAGGTTACAGATACCTATTGGTCTTAACAGATACTTTCTCAAATTGGCCAGAGGCTTTCCCAACCTGAAGCAATAACTCTCCAGAAGTTGTCAAGATGCTACTTAATGAAATTATCCCCAGGTTTTGAGTACCTGACATCATCTCCTCAGACCAAGATCAACATTTTGTAGCTAGTAGTATACAAAAGATTAGCAGTATTCTGCAAATTGATTGGCAGTTACACACTCCATATTGACCACAGGCAAGTGGTCAGGTGGAAAAAATGAATCATTTGATAAAACAATTGGCAAATATCTGTCAAGAAGTGAATCTGCATTGGTACCAAGCCTTACCTCTAGCTTTATTGTGAACCTAAGACTGAAGAAGGGCTAAGTCCTTTTGAAATGTTATATGGGAGACCCTATGGGAATTATTAGAAAGGAGAAGACTTCACACAAATTGGGGAAGGACATATACGGAAATATTCGATCTCACTGAGTAAACAGTTGTCAGAAATTAACAAACAAGTAATGAGTACTCACTCAAGGGGAATAGACCACCCCTTACAAAACGTTTCACCTGGAGAGTAGGCGTATGTCAAAACTTTTTCAGGCCAACCACTAGATGAGAAGTGGAAAGGACCATACCAAGTGCTTCTGACTACCTTCACAGCAATCAAAATCAAAGACTGGAGAACATCATTGGTGGAGTACATTTCTGGGAATAACCAATAAACAATCACCCACTGTAGCCGAGCTGTTTAACTTCCTGGTCCACCCTGTCTTGGTCTTGATGCCGACAGCATTCCTTCTGACAATCATCAATCTATGGATTGGGTGGAGGATTAAGACTGTAGCGCAACAAGTACATGTGCTCTAGACTGTACAAAGGGTGATGCAAAAGAATTTGCATCAGTTAAAAAAAAAAGGGAGGGAATTGAAATAAAAACAAGTTAAAATACAATAGAATTTAGCTATATTAGTAAAAGTTAGCTAGGTTAAGTGTGACTTTGCAAAATTGTAACTGCTTGAAAGAAGGTTGCTGCCCAAATTGTGGGCAATTAAAATAAAGCTAGTTTCCATAAACAAAAGGGACTGTCAGGGAAAGCGGGAAAGACTTTTAGCATGTAGCATCGCAAGGGAGACAGAAGAGGGGTCGGGGAAACCTAAGCTGTTTGAAATGATAAAAATTTATGTAACTATAGTAGTAAGAATAGGGTTATACTAGGTACATGAGCACTCCACTAGGTTAACCATAAAAAACCCCACAAACTTATTTTAAGAATACAACCTGAGTGCAGTCTAACTCATTTGTGAAAAAATGTTTTCAATTTGCATACCCCAGTATTTCAACAATTCTCACAAACAACACAACAGGAATAGTTTAAGATAATACAGAGGTTTTTTTCCCCTGCGGTGAATGGCATCAAGGGAGAGTTTAGTTTGTCTTTTATTTCTACTAGGCTTCAAGCTTCCTGCAAGGCATCTGCACCCTACTGGGAAAAGCTGTTTAAGTCTATGCTGAAAAAAAGCCCCTTTGATAATCACTGGGCAACCGTTTTTAGCAGTCTTTCCACATCTGTGTCAGCTGTGTTGCTAGTTAATCCAATAATCTCAAGGCCATCTTTTTATGCTTATTTCTCCCCTTATAGAGGGAGAAAGCTTGTCTTCCTTATAAGGGCATCGAGTGCATATTTGTGTAGCAAAACATACAGACAGCTCAAGAATTAAGACTGCCTACTTTCATTACATATCTGATGATGTTTTAAATAAATGCAGCATAATTAGCTTCCAAGAATTGTTTCCGTAAATACAGAAGAGAAAAATTTTGCTCCTCCAGCGATTACTTCCCCTTGCAAGTCCCAACCCCTGAGAGGTCAACTAATACAACTCCCCTTTCCTGAAAGACGTTCACAGCATACCAGACACTATTTCCACAATACCACGCCCGGTCGACGGCATTCAGAATGTAGCCCCTGGCCTCCACCCTGTAGCCAACGCGTCTGGGGGCGAGGCTCCAATTAACAGCCTTCTCGCGGTTGCCCCGAAAACACGTCAGCTCTACAGTCGCTCTCCCCAGCCCCTTTCCCACCGCCCCCGTAGGCCCCCGGAGCTAGGGCCGCCATATCCCGGTGACCTACCCGGCTTGGCGGGTACGGCTGGGTACTGCCCCCGACGAAACTCAGACCCCCTGCTCCCTTCCCCTCCCCCATCCCCCAACACTCTGAGTGGGAAACAGAGCGGGACCAAGCCCGAACTAGGGCAGCAGCCCAGCCCCAAAACGCCCCCCAGCCCCGGACAGGCCTCAACAGTCACCTGACCCAAGCCCCAGAGGACCGACCACCGTGAGGCGGCCGCGTCCCTCAGCCGGGAACTGAGACTCTGCTGCTCGGCCCAAAATACCCCCCCAGCGCGCTACCTCCCGCAGCCGTGCCACTCCGTGGGGAAGGCGAAGGCCCCTCTCCCCGTCACTTACCCTTGACTTTGCCGAAGGTACCGACGCCGAGCGTATCGCCCAGGATATAGTGCCCAATCTTCACCCGTCCGTGTTCGTGCTTCTGCTTATCCGCCGCCGCCATCTTGAGCCAAGAGCCGAGCCTGCTCGTAGCGCGCGCCCGCGCCACAGTACTAGCGGAGGAGGAACAACCCACCCAAAACCTGGAAGTGAACTCAGCATTTATCACTTTCCTGCCCTCCCCAGGAACAAACCTTTGCTGTTCGGTGGGGCAGGGCTAGGTCGGCTTAGCGGCGCCCTGAGGGGTGAGGCTTCTGTAGGCGGGCCCTGCCGGCAGGTCAAGGCAGTGGGATGGGAGAACCAGTCCCCTAAGGTTGTGGGGCGGAGTGAGGAGACCAGGGCGTTTTTACGCTACCACCTTCCCCGAAAAATAATGGAGATTCGCATGGATTTCGGGACCGGGAGGAGAGGCGGGCGCAGGGCGCTTCTCAGCGGCGGTGACGGTTCCCCTCAGCACCGGCGCGGTGCGAGGAGCTGGCCTAGGCCTACCGGTGTCAAGAAGCGGCATCGCCTGGAAGCTGAAGCTCCCTCGTGTTGCTGGCTGGCACCGCAATCACCCGCGAGGCCTGTGCCCACAGGCACCGGGAAGCTAGAGCTAAGCGTTCCCCACAGCACGAGTTGCCCTTCCCGATGTTAAAGTGAGGTGATGTGTCTAACATAGGCATACTTTTAATTGAGAAATCATGATATCACAATGAGATTGATAGGCTGTCTGCATTGCCACAGCGTGCCACTGCACACTGCAAGGACTACCTGTGGAGAGCAGGCAGCAGTTCTTGCAGGGGTGGCAGCTGTACACCCACATGCAGGCCAGGTTTCAGGCACTAATAATGCAGTGTGTTGCATATCACAATTTAAAGGTCCATTCAAGATGCAGTTATTGCTGATATGCTTGGCTCTGCCAGCAATGCTGAGGACTGATGGCCAAACCCATTTTGCCATGCCATGTGAGGAGTAGCATCCAGGCACAGGGAGCATACTGTTTCCAAACCACCCATGCTCAGTGGTGAAGAAAGGTCTGTGACATTTTAAGATGAATCAAGCTGGGGCAGCCATGTTTTCATCTCTCTGCCTCGCTTTCACATAAGCAAACACCAGTCTGTTCCTTCAGTAAGGTAATTCAAGAGCATAAGCGGCCAGAAGACCAGTCATACTAAAAAATGAGTATTGGGATCCTATGACAGAAAACAGCCACTCACAAAAAACAGACATGCCAAGTTTCTGTATTTCCAATCAACCTTGTAAATTACATATGTTCGTTCTCTTCTCCCTTCTCCCTTCTCCCTTCTCCCTTCCCCTACCTAGGTCCAAATCCAGACCCTATTGTGGGAATATGAAGAGAATTAGGACTCTCTTAACTCCTACTACTTTGACCAGATAATCTATCTTCCAGTTTGTCTTGCTAACTCATTCATTCACATTGAATTTAGGGCTGTAGCCTTCCTTCCATTCATGCATTGTTTGCTTTCTACATATCAATGATCATATTCTTTTATTGTTGACTATAACTGGATTATTTCCTAATCGCTTTCCAACCCTACCTTCAAGAAAACAGATGAAACTGGAGTGACAATTGGATGAATATTTTTGCATGGAAAAATCGAAAATATTTAATAAGAAATGGTATGCAAAAGCATATTTCATAAAGCATATTACAGAGCGTGTATGGTAATAATTCTGTACATAGAATCATAGAATGTTGAGGGGTTGGAATTGTCACTGGTCACAGCCAGCACAGCTTCACAAGAGCAAAGTCCTGCTCATCGAACCTGATTTCCTTTTATGACCTGATTGATCAAGGGAAGTCAGTTGACGTAATCATTTTGGATTTCAGTAAAGCTTTCGATACTGTCTCTCCCAGGATCCTTCTGGACAAACTGTCCAGCCCACAGCTGGATAAGCACATCATACAATAGGTGAGCAATTGGCTCACGAGTCAAGCACAGAGAGTAATAGTGAATGGGGTGACATCAGACTGGTGACCTGTCACTAGTGGGGTTCCACAGGGCTCCATTTAGGCCCTGTGCTCTTCAACATCTTGATAAATGACTTGGACGCAGGACTGGAAGGGATACTAAGCAAGTTTGCAGATGACACAAAACTCGGAGGAGCTGTTGACTCCCTCAAAGGCAGGGAGGCCCTGCAGAGAGACCTTGACAAATTAGAGGACTGGGCAATCACCAACCATAGGAAGTTTAACAAGGGCAAGTGCTGGATTCTGCCCCTGGGATGGGGCAACCCTGGATGTAGGGACAGAGTGGGGAACGAGATGCTGGAAAGCAGTGCCACAGAAAGGGACCTGGAGGTCCTGGTCGACAGCAAGTTGAATGAATCAGCAGTGCCCTGGCAGCCAGGAGGGCCAACCGTGTCCGGGGGGGGCAATCAGGCAAAGCATCGCCAGTCAGGCAAGGGAGGTGATTGTCTCACTCTACTCTGCACTGGGGCGGCCTTACCTTGAATATTGTGTGCAGTTTTGGTCTCTGCAACATAAGAAAGATATGAAGCCATTAGAGAGGGTAACAAAGATGGTGAAGGGCCTTGAGGGGAAGCCATATGAGGAGTGGCTGAGGTAATTTGGTCTGTTCAGCCTGGAGAAAAGGAGACTGAGGGGAGACCTCATTGCAGTCTACAACTTCCTTGTGAGGGGAAGAGGAGGGGCAGACACTGATCTCTTCCCTGTGGTGACCAGTGATAGACCCTGAGGGAATGGCCTGAAGTTGTGTCAGGGGAGGCTTAGGTTGTATATTAGAAAATGGTTCTTCACCCAAAGGCTCATTGGATGCTGGAATAGGCTCCCTAGGGAAATGGTCACAGCATCAAGCCTGCCAGAGTTCAAGAAGCATTTGGACGATATTCTTGGGCACGTGGTGTGACTCTTGAGAATGGGTACAGGCCTAGGAGTTGGACTGGATGATCCTTGTGGGTCCCTTCCAACTCAGCATATTCTGTGTTTCTGTGATTAACAAATCTCCAGTCCCTTCATTCCTGGTAGTATGCATGCTCAAGACTTGGCAGTTTCTTTTTACCCAAACAATGACCCACTGAATAGGCAATAGTTTTGCAGGCCTTTCAGAACCACAAAACAGTGAACCTTGGCTAAGACTGGGAATTCGTCTTAAACAATTTCCTTCCAGATCAACACTTAGAGACATTGTTCAAGTTACCATCTTCGTGATAAATTCTGGCTCTCCATGCTAGGGCACAATGAAACTCAGTCTATAGTGCCAACATTCCATTTCTCTTCCGGGCAAGTTCTTTTCAGTAACACATATAACCCTCTTTTTAAATTCAGCACAGAGATAATGGATCTTTTCAAAGTGGAGGTGCTATCAAATGAAAAGTCAGTTAAGGGATTATTTTTAATGAATTGCTTCAGTGTATACCATAAACAATTTGTGTGTGCAAACACATGTATTTTCAGGAATCCCATGCTTCCCTGAAGTAAAACATGTACAAAAGGTGACATTTTCTGGATAAGACAATTTATTTTAACAAATACATGTATCTTTATGATGAACTGGAGGCTGTAACAGCTGCTCTCTTGGGCTTCGGCGTGGTTCCCTCACGGAATCCATTCCTGCAATTAGAAATATGGTTACTACTTTTTGAAAGGGTGACTTTTGCTCCAAGTTATTTTCTAACAAGTAATGTTTCAGATCAGGTTCACCAGCTTTTTTCAGCTTCTCTCAGTAATGCACTGGAATCACTATGGAGTTCATATGTTCAGACATTTTTAATAAGAAACATAATTGACAAACTGTTTTGAATAAGCAATATGCTTTTCTCTTCTACTGAAGTAAATTTGACTTCTTCAAACAGGAAGATTTCAGTAACTGAGTAAATACTGCAAGACTGAATTTGATACAGCACACTCACTGAAGGCATGCTTTAACTTTATGTTCCTACTAAGCAACTCAGCAAAAAATTTCACATTTGTTAGTGTTGAAGTGCAAGTCAATTTCTTACAGAAATCAGCCCCAAGCTTGCTTTTGGATATGACATTTCTACTTCAGCAACACTTGGTGGAAATTAGGCTGCAGTTGCGCATTGTAAGTTATTTTTTGGATGCTTCTGGGAAAGACTGTGCTCACCAAAAAACTCCTGATGAATGAATCCCTCCAATACACCTAGGTCCAGGACTTAAAAGACTCCTATTTTTCACTATAAAATCCAATAAACATTTTTAGGAAAAGACTCTTGAATTGCTTGGTATTTTTCATCCATCTTTCTGGTGTATTAGGCCAAAAGTTACAAAGGTGCATTTTAGAACATGGAGGTCATACAAAAAGAAATTCTTAGCGAGTTTAACAGTACAGTACCTTTTAAGTACAACTCAAAGCTTTATAACACATTTTAGATAAGAATCTGATGTTAGTTACTTACTGCTAATTGAACTCCAAATTAAAGAGCAACCAATAAAGCATTTAAATCCTTAACTTTTTTTTTTGGGCAAGAGGGGATTTGAATGCATTTCAAGAATTGTATCTTATAAAAATATAACTTCAATGCAACCAGCAATTTCAGACTCCCCCAAAGAAGCAATGCTACACAAAGCATACCTTTTCAAATGTGGGTGTTTTATTACAATACCCTCTGTGTTCTGTACTATCTACACTTAACAGAAACATCAGAGCTTGCTATACATCCTATGTAATAAAAATTAGTGAGCTTTTTATAATTGGCAGCATATTCATCGGAAGATATAAGCCATAATGCATTTCCACAATATATTAAAAAGAAACACCATACCTCATCAAGTGTACTAAATAAGTATTAACTTTGAATGATGAACTTTATAATTCAGTGAAATCCATTCAAGATTTCAGATTACACTAGTTTGTAATGTCGTACCTGAATCGACGGTAGACCCTTTTCAGGTGTCTCATGCGACCAGTACCAGTGGTGTTGCGTCGTTTAGCCTTTGCACTCCAGTTATCTAGAACACAGGAGTTACTATTACTCATCTGCAACAAATAATTAGTTGCACAGTACATTTGAATAGCACAACTATTCAATCTGACAGAAGCAAAAGAAAAAAACAATTATAAATATAGTTATATCAGTGTTAATTTCAAAAAT